GACTGCTGGGGAAGTCCCACATGGGTCTTCTTTAATAAAAACATACTAAGCTGTACATTGATGGTTTATGCATTTTTCTCTACACGTCTTACACTTCACAGTTAAAATGTTTTTGTTTTGTTTGTTTAAAAGAGAGAATTTTGAAATGTAGATACTGAGAAACTCACCAGGGATACAGTACAGAGAAACAAAGAGATTAAAAATATACAAAAGGGCAGTTAAGAGACATGGAAGGTGGGTTGGAAAGTTCCAATAACCAGACAAAAGCAATTCCAGAAGAAGATGGAGGCAATGGTAGAGGAGCAATATTTGAAGAGATAATTGCTGAGAATGTTTCAGAACTGAAGACAGACTTGTATCCAGGTACCTAACAGAATAAGTAACAATAAATCTAAACTAAGGCATATCATAGTAAAACTATGCAATATCAATGATAAGGATATAAAGTTTAAAAACTTTTATATCAGGGCAGCCAAGGTCTGATGGGCAGCAATAAATGGCCAGAAGGGATGTAGCTACAAAAAATGAGATTTTTTTTTTCATTTATTTTTATTAGCTGGAGGCTAATTACTTTACAATATTGTAGTGGTTTTTGTCATACATTGAAATGAATTAGCCATGGATTTACATGTATTCCCTTTTTGTCATACATTGACATGAATTAGCCATGGATTTACATGTATTCCCCATCCCGATCCCCCCTCCCACCTCCCTCTCGACCCGATCCCTTTTTTTTATATCCATTCCAGAGAGAGGGCATAATAAAGAGAAACCTATAAAGAATAGGCTTACTACCCCAGATTCTATGAACTTTGAAAGGCTGTCCCTCAGCAAGAAAAACCTGGGGGTGTTTAATGGGGACATAAAAGGTCTGGGACCAAAGAAATGATACTGGACACAGAAATGGATAAATACGTCAATTAATATGATTTATGATTGACTGAAAAAAGTATGAATTACTGTATGTTTAAGAAAAGGGGGAAATGAAAATTTTAAATTCAATAGCATGACTGCTGGTGGAGGTGGTAGGTATAAAGCATTCAAGGTCCTCAGCATGGTTGGATGGTTATTAAAAATATTAAACAATTATAAACACTCTTGGAAAAATATGTAATTTTTATTTTGAAAGTACTACCAAAAAACCCCCAAACAACAATACAAAATTAGAAATGCCTTATGTTGCTTCCTAGTCAGCAGAGGCATAATGGAAGAAGACTAAAAACTAAGAGGGGTAGGTGTAGTTTCTGTTTTCAAAGAGGGTACTTTTTATTTATTTATTTTTTATTTATTTTTTTCCATTTATTTTTATTAGTTGGAGGCTAATTATTTTACAACATTGCAGTGGTTTTTGTCATACATTGAAATGAATTAGCCATGGATTTACATGTATTCCCCATCCCAGTCCCCCCTCCCACCTCCCTCTCCACCCCATCCCTCTGGGTCTTCCCAGTGCACCAGGCCTGAGCACTTGTCTCATGCATCCAACCTGGGCTGGTGATCTGTTTCATCCTAGATATACATGTTTCGATGCTGTTCTCAAAGAGGGTACTTTTTAAATTTTTTATTTATTTATTTTGGCCTCACCAGGTGGGATCTTTGTTCCCTGACCAGGGATTGAAACTCTGTCCCTGGGAGTGAAAGCATGGAGTCCCAACCACTGGACCACCAGGGAATTCCCCAAAGAGAGTACTTTTGAAAGTAAAGAAAGTTACTTTTTGACACCTCAGATTGCAAAGCCTAGCCGAAATCTGTCAAATTGCAGAAATGAGTATTAAATACCTGCTTTATAAGCACTTTCCCCAAAAATGAAGCAGGGTGACCAGGTGGAATTTGCATGAATTCTACTGAGAAAAAGTTATACCAATCTAGCTTGATTCTCTGCATTCTTTTTTGATTTTTAAAAAAATTTTACAAAATTTTTGTGAAAAGAATTAGAAAACATGGAAAAGAAATTCTATCTGTCATTAACAAACAAGTGTATGTGTGTTATGGCTGAGTTGCGAGGTTAGCAGAAGGGTGTGACATATGGGGGATGCAGTGAGAAGAACACTGGACTGGGGAGACTGAAGCCCTGAATATTCAGATATATAAGGAAGGTCCAGTGGGGCCGCCTAGGCATCTAGACTCTGATGTCCAATAATGTGGATTTGCATCAAACTACCTTGGCCAAATGACTCCAGTTTCACTTGCCTTCTTCACACATGAAACAAGGGGGATAGCAGGGTGTAGTGAAGCCTGTTGTCATCTAATCCACTGCTTCCCTCAGCTTTAAAATTCTATGAAACTAAAAAGAATTACATGAATCAAAACAAAATCATATGGTAATATATATCCTGGTGCTCTGTGTCAACCCAGAGGGATACAGTGGGGAGGGAGGTGGGTTCAGGATTGAGGAGACGCATGTATACCTATGGCCGATTCATATATGACAACAACCATCACAGCATTGTAAAATCATTACCCTCCAATTAAAATATATAAATTTTTAAAAAAATCATAAAGCCAATGTGTTAAGTCTCCAGATAAGACAAAACTGGAAGAGGAAGAGTGAAGAAAGTAAAAGCATTCAGACTTGTGTCAGAATTGGCAGAAATCACTATCATGAAGTTTAATAGGAAGGAACAAAGACCTCAATTTAGATGAACAAAAGATCATCTGTGCAAATATTAATACAAAATGGCATAGACATGGCTTGATAATTCATTCAAAAAGAGCTATTTTAATATATGCTCCTGGAGCCAATGATATGATGGGATGATTAGACTAAATTAATGAACTCTCAGGTTAGAGTAGCCAGAAACAATGTTTATGGTCATGGAGGCACAAATCCCACAGTAGGCATACTTCATTATTTTTTAAACATTTATTTATTTGGTTGCACAGGGTCTTAGCTGCAGCATGTGGGATCTAGTTCCCTGACCAGAGATTAAACCTGGGCCCCTGGCACTGGAGTGTGGAGTCTTAACCACTGGACAAACAGGGAAGTCCCAGGAATACCTCATTTTACTGTGCTTCCCAGATACTAGGTTTTTTTTTCCCCCACAAATTGAAGGTTTGTGGCAACCCTGCACAGAGCAAGTCTACTGGTGCCATTTTTCTAACATTTGCTCACTTTGTATCTCTGTGTCACATTTTGGTAATTCTAGCAATATTTCAAATTTTATTATTATATTTGTTAAGGTGATCCGTGATTAGTGATTTTTGGTGTTACTACTGTAATTGTTCTGGGGTGCCAAAAATTGTTCCTATATAAGACGGCGAACTTAATGATAAATGTGTATGTTCTGACAGCTCCACCAACTGGCCATTCCCCATTTCTCTACTTCTTCTCAGACCTCCCTATTTCCCAAGGTGGAACAATATTGAAATTAGGCCAATTAATAACCGTACAATGACCTCTAAATGCTCAAGTGAAAGGAAGAGTCCCATGTCTCACTTTAAACCAAAAACTCAATAGAAATAATTAAACTAGCGAGGAAATAATATCTAGGCCTCTGGCACCAAATGGTTAGCCAAGTTGTGAATGCAAAGGGAAACTTGAAGTAAATTAAAAGTGCTATTCCAGTGAACACATAAATGATAAAGAAGCGAAACAACTTTACTGCTGATATGGAGCAAGTCTGAGTGATCTGGATAGGAGAACAAATGAACCACAACATTCCCTTAAGCCAGAGCAAGGCCCTAACTCTCTTTAATTCTATGAGTGCTGGAAGAGGAGAGGAAGCTTCAGAAAAAATGTCTGGGGCTAGCAGAGCTTGGTTCACATAGTTTAAGGAAAGAAATTGTCTCTGTAACATAAAAGTGCAAGGTGATGTAGAAGCCACAGCAAGTTATCCAGAAGATCTAGCTAAGGCCATTAATGAAGGTGGCTACTAAACAACACATTTTCAATGTAGATGGAATAGCCTTATATTGGAAGGAAAGACATCTGAGACTTTCATAGCTGGAGAGAAGAAGTCAATGTCTAACTTCAAAGCTTCAGAGGACAGGCTGTCTCTCTTGTTAGGGGCTAATACAGCTGGTGACCTTAAGTTGAAGCTAATGTTCGTTTACCACTCTGAAAATCCTAGGATCCTTAAGAATTATGGTAAATCTATGCTGCCTGTGCTCTATAATGAAACAAGAAAGCTTAGATGAGAGCACATCTGTTCACAACATGAAGTGCTGAATATTTTAAACCCACTGTGGAAACATAAGCTCAGAAGAAGATTCCCTTCAAAATATGAAGGGAACTGACAACGTACCTGGTCACACAAGAGCTCTGATGGAGACCTACAATGGGATTCATGCTGTTTTCCTGCCTACTAATGCAACATGTGGGCTTCCCTGATGGCTCACAGATAAAGAATATCCCTGCCAATGCAAGAGATGTGTGTTCGATCCCTGGATTGGGAAGATCCCCTGGAGAAGGAAATGGCAACCCACTCCAGTATTCTTGCCTGGAGAATCCCATGGACAGAGGAGTCTGGTGGGATACAGTTCATGGGGTTGTGAAGAGCTGGACACGACTAAGTGACTAAACAACAACAACGCAGTATACATTCTGCAGCCCATGAATCACAGAGTAATTTTGAATTTCAGCTCTGTTTTAAGAAAGACAACTTTGTATGGCTACAGTTGCCATAGACAGTGATTTTTCTGATGAATCTATCCTGGGCAAACTATAATGAAAACCTACTAGAAAGGATTCACCATTCTAGATGCCATAAGAACATTTGTAATTCATGTGCAGAGGTCAAAATTACATCAACCAGAGTTTAGAAGAAGTTCACTCCATCCCTCATGGATGACTTTGAGAAGTTCAACACTATTTCTAGGAAGTAACTAGAAATAACAGGAACCAGAATTTGAAATGGAGCTTTTTTGTGACTGAATTGTTGCAATGTCATGATAAAACTATAAGGAATGAGAAGTTGCTTCTCATTCTTACAGATAACACTGTTATTTTCATTAGCTTTGAATGTCTGTCATATTATCTATACTGATTGAAATGTACTTACTTCTAATGCATAATATACGGGTTTATCTCTGCCGAGTTTGTATGCCACTGTGGTCAGAAGGCCATGTTCAGAAAACACACACTGTAGGAAAGAGAAAGAGAGTTTATAGCCAGGAAAACAAAAAGACAGTATATGAAGATTTTTAAAGCAAAAATGATCTAGTTATAACATAATTCAATAAGCACGACAATTTAGAAAATATATCTTAAAAATCAAAATTACCAGTATTAAGAACAATACACTTGGGAGACTGGGATAGAGATATATATACTACTATATATAAAACAGACAACTAATAAGGATAACTAATAGCACAGGAAACTCTACTCAAAACTCTGCAATGACCTACATGGGAAAAGAATCTTAAAAAAGTGGAAATTCTTTGCTGTACACCTGAAAATACCACAACATTATAAATCAACTATTAACTCCAATACAAATTATTTTAAAAAGAACAATACACTCAAATAGTACAAAAAGATTATCCCTTGTTGGAAATTAGACTTGAATTAAGAATCTGACAAGCTCCGAGTGAGATCTTCTACTAACGCAATTAAAAATACACATATAAAATTCAAAGAACCTAAAATGGTTCTTACAAGAATGCTTCAAATGTAGTGATACTCATCATTTTTATTGAGCTCTAAATGAAACCTTGATAAAAAAAAAGCTGCTGACTCAAAAGTTACTTAATAGCAAATTATGTTGAAATACTGTTTACATGAAGTTAAAGAAGACTTCCATGAATCATTTAATTTGAAAAACACCAACCTTACGGCCTGTATTACATAGTAAAAAGCAGCCTGTTCCATACCTACAGTTAGGGGAAGAATGAACAGTAGGACAATTTTATTAAAAGTAAATGCTGAAACGTTAATAATATAACATTGACATTTAACATAGAACAATAAAAGAAATTAAATTCTTAGAAAAGTTTCAAAAGTTAACAAATATCACATACACTCTTGGAATAATGTTTTAAAGAACAGTCTAGGGACTTTCCTGGTGGTCCAGTGGTAAAGAATTTCTCCTGCCAATGCAGAGAACCCTGGTTTGATCCCTGGTCTGGGAAGACCCCACATGCCACAGGGCAACTAAGCCCATGTGCTACAACCACTGAGCCCACACTCCTCAAAGCCCATGCTCCACAACAAGACAAACCACCACAATGAGAAGCCCAAGCACCACTAGAAAGTATCCCCCACTTGCCACAACTAGAGAAAGCCTGCATAGCAACCAAGACCCAGCATGGCCAAAAATAATATTTTTAAAATATGTGTTTCCTTAAAAAAAAAGTCTAGAAGAAAATGTACTTAGTGGAATCCTAATGGAAAAGCTCAACATTCAAAACACTAAGATCATGGCATCTAGTCCCATCACTTCATAGCAAATAGATGGGGAAAAAATGGAAACAGTGACAGACTTTATTTTCCTGGCATCCAAAATCACTGCAGATGGTGACTTCAGCCATGAAATTACAAGACACTTGCTCCTTGGAAGAAAAGCTATGACAAATCTAGACATTGTATTGAAAAGCAGAGATATCACTTTGCCTACAAAGGTCCATACGGTCAAAGCTGTGGTTTTTCCAGTAGTCATGTACGGATATGAGAGTTGGGCCATAAAGAAGGCTGAGTGCCGAAGAATTGATGCCTTCAAACTGTGGTGTTGGAGAAGACTCTTGAGAGTCCCTTGGACAGCAAGGAGATCAAACCAGTCAATCCTAAAGGAAATCAACTCTGAATAGTCACTGGAAGAACCAATGCTAAAGCTGAAGTTCCAATACTTTGGCCATCTGATGCAAAGAGCTGACTCATTGGAAAAGACCTTGATGCTGGGAAAGATTGAGGGCAGGAGAAGGGGGCGGCAGAGGATGAGATGGTTAGTTGGCATCACCGACTCAATGGACATGAGTTTGAGCAAGCTCCAGGAGTTGGTGATGGAAAGGGAAGCCTGGTGTGCTGCAGTCCATGGGGTCGCAGAGTCGGACATGACTGAGTGACTGAACAACAATGAAAAAATGCAAGTATAGTATTTGGAGCTTAGTTGTAACCCAGGTCCATGTTTATATTAATAAAATAGCACTGAGTTACAATAAATCCTAAGTTCTCTCACAGTTACATCTCTACTAATCCATGTGAAGTGAAACATCATGGCTAATAGCCATTCAGCAATGGGACAGGCCGGCCTAGGGCCATCATTAGGCAGTCGTAAACCTCTGGCATGGAGAGAGTGTAGGTCCAGCGTGGGGGAAAAGTGTAGCTGGACTTTGGGACAGGAGTGGTGAGGAGGGAAAAGCTATTGCTGGTCTATCTCCTCCCTTCCCTACGCAGGCTAGGGTGTTCTAACAGTGCTCAGAGAGTCAGAGCGAGCACGTAGCACAGCTGCCAGGGAAGAACTGAATTTACTTTGTGGCGGCCTTATCAGCAAAAGCTTTGGACTCTGCAACAAATCTGGCACTTGGACATGCGTGAGTGGTTCTGAATTGTGCAGAGCAGATAAGTGGTTCAAGCTGATATCAGCAAGGGTCCCATGGCAACACTTTTCAAACAAGTTGGCTGTCATCTCTGGCTTGCCCCAGCTGTCCTAACCTGCCTGGGATTCCCTCCCCACAGGCCTTGCTGCTGTGCTCAGGTGGGAGAAGGGGAGGGCTCAGCCCAGGGGTGCGCAGACAGATCCCAGATGCTGCTATTAATATGAGTCAGCGCTAAGCCAACAGACCCCACTCGCTGTGTTTGTCTTATGGAGCAAACAGAACGGGGGCAATTTTTCCTGAAAAACATTTTTCCAGGAACCACTGATGTGAAGAAGAATTTGCCCAAGACCATCTATCTCTTTTGCTCAATTAAAGCATGATTGTGGGCTGCTTGATGACCAGTCAGCACATTCAGGGAGCATGGCGTTCATGAGTATCTATCTCAGTTTTCAAAGACACCAGTCAAATATCACTAGGTTCTGGTAATAATACATTTATGAAGTCAAAACACATAAATCGCTATACGTTTTCACTTCTGTGATGCTAAAAAAGCTACATATTTTAAGTCAATCTCTGTGCACAAATATTCATAAAAGTGGAAGTTAGTTATCTGTTCCACACTTTATAAAGGAGAAATCTGTACTAATTTAGTCCCCATATGAACACTATGTATACTGAACAGTAGTGTATAAGTCCTAAATTATGAAATTGACACAGAAGCTCAAGGTACTTAATAGAAGTAAATTCTTAAGTTCATGTACACTTAATAAATAATTAATGAGCATTATCAACACATGAAGAGACTTCTTTGCAACATTTAGGCCACAGCATTTTTTTTTTTTTGGTGGCTGAGCAGTATGTGGGATCTTAGTTCCCCAACCAAGGATAGAACCCATGCCCCCTGCAGTAGAAATTTGGAGTCTTAACCACTGGACCACCGGGTAAGTCCCTAGACTACTGCTTGCAAAGCCATATATAGGCAATTATTTTCCTCTTAAATTTTATTTTTTTTCTTCCCAGTCATCAAAAATATATGGGTTTTTCAGCATTTATATGGTATACCAATCCTTTCTCAAGATTCTACTGTGTTCAGACAGTGGGGGTGGTGGGGTGGGGGTGTGTGAGCGGTCCTGGTTGAATCTGTGGAAGAGGCAGGAGGCCTCTGCTACTACACTTAGAGCCTCTGGGAGAGAGGAGGCACTTAAAACACAAGCTTAAATTAAAAACACAAACGAACAAAATTCCCCAAAGTTGGAAAGATCCTATTAATCTGACAAACTGTCTACTTCACTCCCCCTTCTTGGATGGTTGCATTTCTGCATAGCACATTCTGTCCTGCTGTCTCTATCTTCTACTTACCTGCATCTCTTTTGACCATTTGTAACCTGGCTTCCATCTTGAGCATTCTATTAAAGCTTCATTCTTGGAGGTTACCACTGAAGACCTAATTTCTATGTCCTTTTTGTTCCATTTTGCACTGCTGACCAAGCCCCTCTCTTAAATAGAGACTCTGGTAGAGTCTTAAATAGAGACCCTGGATCTCCACATTAATGACTCACTACATTCTATTTGTCTGAATTCTCCACCCTGTCATCTCTTCGTTCTTCTAAATATCTCCTCTACCTATATACTTTTTCTTGGTAATTTCATCAATTCTTATTGCTTCAAAAATCACCTCTAAATATGGGAAATTCAAAATCTATACTTTTATACTACATTCATTCCCCATGACCATGTATGTATAATGTACAGCCTACCAGTATCACCAATGTACCCCAAACAGAAAGTCTTCTACTTGAACCCATTCCATACGCTGGCTACATCTAACCACTGGGACCAGGTGATTGACTCCATACCTACTTTCTGTCTCGTGTTCCTCTGCAGTGCCATGGACATCCACCCATGCCTCCATCTCAGTCCTCCTCATACTTCTTAGTCCTTGTTGCTGTTACAGAGATGCTGTAGCAGCCTCCATGTCCTCTCTGCCTCTAGCTTTTCCTCACTTTATTTTTTTAAAAAATTTAGTTATTTATTTTTGGCTATGTCAGGCGAGTGTATGCTCCTCGGTTCTTTGTCTTGTCACAACAAAAATTTGGAGTGACGGACATTAAAGCCCCTTGGCGGGTCACAGCTCTCGGAGGACAGACTGTGTTATAGCTCTTAAATAAATCAGTGTTACAGCTCTATTTATTTAGATAACAGCAGGAAAATCCATTTTCGAGGCATGAGGGCACATTGATCCAAAGACGCAAAGAGAAGCTCGCCCCATTGCGCGGGAGAGAGAGAGAGAAGAGGGCTTTGGCTCCTCTTTTTATGTGTTTCTCTGTCCCTGGGCCTGTCTTATGTAAATTGGACCAGCAAGGAGTGTTGTTTGTTTTACCTGAGGTTCTCACTCTGGTCCTCGGACCTTCCTTTGTTCTATTTTCGTGGGCTTTTCCCTTCCAGGTCTTCTAGCCACCGCCATTCTGGACTCCTTTCCTATTCTAACTACTCCTATTCTAACTACCTAACAGCTATGCCGGGTCTTCATTGCTGAGCGGGCTTTATCTAGTTGCAGCAAGTGGGGGCCACTCTCTAGTTACAATGCACGGGCTTTTCATTGTGCTGGCCTCTCTTGTAGAGCACAGGCTCTAGGTGCGGGAGCTTCAGCAGTTGCAGGATGTGGGCTCAGTAGCGGTGGCACAGGGGCTTAGTCGCCATGCGGCATGTGGGATCTTCGGGGATCAAGGATCGAACCGTGACTCCTGCATTGGCAGGCAGATTCTTTACCACGGAGCCGCCAGGGAAGCCTTCTCCTCACTTTAACGCAGGACTGCCATATCATTAATGAACAGCAACACTCGCCTCTGAACAGCAGCCCCCAAACCTTCAGAAGTATCCCACTGCCTTCCAGAAAAAAAACTCCTTACTCTGGAATTTAGGGTGTCACACCCCCTTCGCCTTATTTCCCCACAATCACTTCCCTACCCAACTGTTCTCTGCATTCTCTAAATAAAGTTTTCCATGTCCTTCAGTGTTCCACGTGTTTACCAATACTGTTCAGCCTTCAAAACGTCTCACTACTAACAATCTTTGTGATTTTTCTTCCCTCCCTTTGAGACCCAACAGCAGTACTTCCAAGTTTCTTATGGCACAGAAGTTCTTATCTATACCATGATGAACTGTATATCTGTGGTCTTTTCCTTCAGGAAGAGAAACACGACCCAAAGATCTTAAAATTCTTCCCCTCTTCCAACCTGCAGGGGCTGCTGAGGTACTCAGCCTGCCCTCCCTAACTTAAATCCCGCATTTCCGGAATTGGCTGATAATGCTTAAGAGGGAGGGGAGTATAAACAGAAACAAAATCAGGCAACTTTACTGGGCACCTCCCATGTGCTCTAGAGTGTCAGGTACTTGCCAAAGAGAGATAGCATCTGCTTTACTAGCATAAGGGTGCTAGGCAGAGGCGGAAAGAAGAGGGTGGGGGGATAGCCTACTTTTCTATCTTTTCTATCATTTCTCTGACTCCTGACTTAGCTACCTGGAATCCAGAATTCAAAGAATATGTTTCTAGACCCACAGGATACCATGACCTGTGAAGAATTTTCCTATCTCTCCTCTCAGAAAAACTGTCACCCAAATGTCACACTTTTGCATGAGGACTTCGGACCCTATTAGAGTATAAGAATACTACATCTAAAATATAGAGACATTCCATTACTGACAAAAAAGGAGAACGTAAGCACTGAAGTTAACAATGAGAGAATTAGAAAATGCTCAACAGGACTTCCCTGGCGGTCCAGAGGTTAAGACTCCATACTGTATGGAGGTTAAGACTCCATACTGCAGGGGGTATGGGTTTGACCCCTGGTCCAGGAACTAAGATCCCACATATTGTGGGGTGTGGCCAAAAACAGAATCCTCAAGATAAAAACCATTAAAGGTAGACAGCCAGCTGCCACGGCTATGGAAATCTTTGCCACACAGGGGACAGTAAAGTATAAAGGTCAAGTGCCCTAAGTCCAATCAGCTGGATTTCGATGCAAAGACTGCTTTCCTCACTTATTAGCTTAACTTCTCCGAGTATCTGTTTTTCTCATCCTAAAGTGGGAGTCACCTTATCACTCTTAAATATGAGGCTTGTTATAGACTACATGTGTGACTATTAAGAAGACAAGATGAGAAGAAAAATGCACCAAATCTCTACTTCTGTCATTCCTTCTGCTTTGTGTTGAAGCAGAAACTTGAAATGACAGGGAGAAAGCATAGTGCCAGAGAAATAACTTTGAAAAATCCCACAAGAATATGACTTCAAAATTAGAAAGCCTTGGGCAGGAACAATATGTTTAAAATTAAGAGTTTCATCAAGGCTTTCTTCCCTCTGCTCAGCCTACTTCCAACAACCTCTGCAAAGGGCAAGAATCCTTTATTTTTTATTATTAAAATTTTTTTTTAAAATTTGTATTTATTTTGGCTGCCTGCATGGCATGTGGGATTATCACGTTCCCTGACTAGGGATCAAACCCATGCCTCCTACATTGGACATGCAGAGTCTTAACCACTGGACCACCAGGGAAGTCTATCCCAAGGCAGAAATACTTTAAGCCAACATTTAGTTTCTGTATGGAAAAGGTTTTGAATTTTATAAATTAAGGTTTTCACAAGCTTCATCAGTGTGTTTACATATGCTATGGTGTGATTTATGTAAAAGAAATGAACAAATGGCAAAAAGTGTATACATATATAACTGTAATGGCACTCTTGAACTATTAATTTTCAGTCTGGAGAAACTTCAAAAGCTTTTCCTCATTCCTAACATCAAAGGGAAAAACAAACAAACAAGACTCCACTGGTTCGCAGGTCTGTTTCTTAAAACTCACGTGTTTTTGGCTTGTCCATCTTGAAAGCACATTTGTCCCACCAACGCAGCAGACTGGTCTCCCAAACACTGAAACGATATATGACAATAAAGAATACTAAGACAATATTATTCATTTTCTTTTTAGGAGAGCCATAAGATTTATTTTTACTTCTTCATTTATAAAGGAGTGAACTGTCTTATATTCTTTGCATTGCCTACATTTGGCCATTGCCCTATGTGTTAATGCTCCGAACAGGGATGGGAAGGGACAGTTAGAATTAATTTACTCAACAAAATTCTCAATAGCCCCCACTGCATCCCGTCAAGACAAGAATTAGCCAATCCTTCTGCTCTTACTTATTTTTCATAGTTAAAGAAGGAACAGATTGATTAAGGGAAGCCAGAACATGAAAGGGGGTGGGGTAGGGAGGTGGTAGGGCGATGTTTGGTGATAAAACTTACCCCAGATATTGGCACACCTTCCAAGGCCCCAGCTTTCTAATAAAATTTTAAAAAAGGATTATGAATAATCACAAATTTGGCTCTACTAACATAACTGTAACAGAAATGAACAAAAATAGCAACATGCCAGAGCATGTGGGCAGACAAGACAAGGCAAGTGTTTCAACTACATGAGTGGTTCAGAGACAGAGATACTAGAAATAGTCCTTGAAGAGACATGGACACGAAACACTGGACAGGGAGCCAGGAGATGCAGGATCTACTCCTGGTTAGTTAGTTAGTTAGTCACTGAGCAGGCTGCTGAAACTTCTCTATACCTCAATTTATTCATCTACAAAATGGGCCTGAGCTTATATGAATGCCACAGACCATTAGTTCTTTGCTATTATTGCTGTTACTATGAACAGACTAACACATACTTCACAATGAACATAGAGCTATCAAACCAGCACGGAACATGTTTATTTCGGAAGGCTTTATTTTACCAACTGTTCTTCCTACCCAAACTGCTCTTGATAAGTAAGAAACAAGAGAGGGGTTTGGGTATGGGGCATTAGTTGTTCATAGCCAACATCATTCTTCAAGTTTTGATAAGCAAGAGTTAATTTGTGTCATGAATAGTGGTTTTGATTGTGAGCCAGTATGGCCAGCACTCTAAGGAAAAAATGAGATTTAAGTGGCTGACTGTGAACTTAACCAAATTTAATTTTGAAAAAAATACTTACACTAATACAAACCAACACGTATTGATATCAAGGAATTAGGGGAAAGGAATATGATCCCCAAAGTACCTGTGATGTATTGATGTACTTTCATTTAAAAGTTCATTCGGGTTTTTCCATATCATCTTACAGAAAAACCCAAACAAACATTATGATGAACCTGATATTAGGAAGAGGACCAAACCAAATCTTTCACCTGACATTTCCATCTGCCATTTCTCTGGGAGCTTTGGGCTCCCCCTCTGTGATAGTGAGGGGAAGAAGAGAAGCCATCTCACACAGCTATGGTTAGGAAATAAGAGCATGCATGTGGAAACCATTCACAAAATAGAAAATACCCACTAGATAGTGGGGTAACATTTTATTTCTTTTATGCTTTTGGGTTAATCCAAGAACTTTTATTTACTGTATATATTCTTGGACAATCTGAACCTGGCTTATAAGTGAAAGTGAATCAGGAAACCTAGAGACTGGATATGTAAGGTATTCAGATGCTGGAAGAAGTCTTTGCTTACACTATTCAAGTTATTGTCAAACTACCAGCAGAATCTACTATGTGCGGTCAGGCACAGAAAGCGCTCTTTTTTTTTTTACGGGGAGGGGGTCCCTGGAGGATTCCTGGGACTATTCTCTGGTGAAGCATGCAGAAAAAGTGACAGTGCATTTCCAACTAGCTGGTCTCAGAGTTGGGCAAGATGTCATTTAAGAGACGTACAGTACATCTAAAAACTATACCTCATTTCCCTATTATGCTAAAGCCCAAAAGCACATCACAACTGTACTTTGTAATAGGGACCATCAGAATTTCTCATTTCAGAAAACTATCTTAGCCTTTTACTTTGAAACATCACTCCCAGTTTTATGGAGGACTTAAAAAGAAATAAGATTATGTTTTAACAATAACTAAAGCTTCACTAGAGCTTATAATAATTTGGAGGGTCATGGAAGAGTCTACATTAATTTGCTGAGTAAATGGATTTCTGCTTATCTAAAACTAAATGGAAATGCACTGTATCTTTTCCAAATGAATGGGTAGCATCATTGGTGGGCAACCTACTCACCGGGCTATGAGAGATTTTCTATAGTCAGCAAGGGGGAGAGAGGGGGACAGAAGGATAATATTTTAAATGCAAGAGAAAACTAGGCCAGTTAAATGTTTTTTCAACCATCCTCTGAAACTGTTTTTCAAGAACAGTTTTTTTTTCCTCTGACCCAAGTCAGTTTGTAGATAGCTATGAAATTATCAAAGCACTTTTAAACTGTAGATAAGCAATGATTATGCTTCCCTTAAAAAATTCCATGTTGCCTTAAAAGGCTTTATTATAAATGAAACACTTAAGACTTCTTGCTTAAGCTTTAACCAGAACACTTGGGTGTTCTAGTAAGTAGACTAATATTTTTTATGAAATGTCCAAACATTATTTTTTGGTAATTAATCTTAGACTTTTCTTAATTTTTACCATAAATTCTAGATTTTTGAGCTTAAACACCAGTTCAAATTGTCCTAAAGGTTTTCGTTCCTGGTGTGTAATCAGAAATACTCAGCGATGCTACGTGTAATTTGTGCTTAGACTACTTCTGTGGGTTTCAGTGAAAGCAACAGTAAAAATGCCCATGATGAAAACCAGTTTAATTAACAATCACAAATCAGAACAGACTCTTTGCTTTCAGCTTCTCTGCTAAAGTTTTGTTCAGGCTGACAAAGAATCTGAGACGTGGTCTGGCCATTAAAGGAGATTCAATAGGAAAAGGAATGCCACTAAAATGTGAAGAGACCTTCCTATAAATTAAAAGCAGGCAATGCAACTACTAAATAGTTATTTGGATTAAAAGAAGAAACTGGCTCAAATATTCCCTTATCAACTACTGCAGTTAGATTATCTCATCAATACTTTAAAATACTCAAAGAAAAGCCAATAAAGTTCATAGTATATAAAGTTTTATATGTAGTTTTATATAAAGTATACATAAAACATAAACTGGCAAGAAGGACTCAAGAATTTGAAGTTATAAAACTATTTAGATAATACTAAATTCTTATTTTACATACTGCCAACATTCATAAAAAATTCACGGGTCTCAAAATATAAAACGTAACACAACTGACTTTTGAATTCTGAATAGTAAGGTTTTTTTTTAAGATAAAAATTAAATTAAAAAAATTTTTCTTTTTCTTTTTACCATTAGGCCATAGATCTCTGAAGAACTTCGGACATTTGGAAGGATTTTCATTGGAATTCCAAAAAATCTAAAAAAATAGTAAAATAAGATTGGGTATATAATACTATTTTAAGTAAATGTCTAGAAACATTTATACGAATTTAAAGGCATGCAAACAAGAATTAAAAACAGGCACATTTGAGAGCTGAGTTAAATGGGAAGAAATAAATAAGCCAGCAGTAGGCTTAGATATTTAACACTCTAACTTTACATAAAGAAATCAATACAAAAGCAAAAGTACACAAAAAACAAAGTACTTTTATAAAGGAACCTAATTTTCCTTGAAGAATAATCAAGACGATTACTTAATTTGGCCTATTTATTATATATGCAGTAATAGTCTCTTACAGGGAGTCCAGCCTTGTGCTCTGTGGTGATATGCAGTAATAGTCTCTTACAGGGAGTCCAGCCTTGTGCTCTGTGGTGACCCAGAGGGGTGGGATGTGGTGGGGGAGGGAGGCTCAAGAGGGAAGGTGTATATATACATATTCGAGTTGTTGTATGGCAGAAACCAACACAACATTGTAAAGCGATTGTCCTCCACTTAGAAAAAAAAGAGTATACAACATAGACTTGTATATTGTAGTTAAATATCAACAAAGTTTGGTGCTCCACTGACAATCTGAAAATAATTAAGATTTAGGTTATAGACAGGCAACAAATTAGAAAACTATTCTGAGGGCAAAACACAACTCACTCGCAGAGCTCTTTATCCCATTCCAAAGAATGGATGTTGAAAAGCATCGTCCTGCTTGCATTTGTTACATCTGTACAATGGACACCTCCACTGACTCCTCCTGTCAAGCTCTGGACAGAAGAAAAGGACATGTTAAATCTGTACTTATTTGCAATTTAATTTCTACTTTGTCAAGAGCCAGAATCTGTTGTAGACCCCATATAGCAAGAGAATGGAACATTTCAATTACTTCATCTTCTAGTGTTCTTTGGTGTCCAACAGAAATACAATTTAACAGAACCACATTGACCCACACATGTAATTGGATATTTTCTAGTTGCCACATTTAAAAAGCATAAAGAAGCAGGTGAAATGAATAATACTGTAGGTTTTATTTAACTTAACATATTCAAAATATCCTTTCAACATATGAAATTATTACTAAGACATTTTACCTTCTTTTTTTGTATTAACTCTTTGAAATACAGTGTATATTTTACACTCATGCACACCTCAATTCAGACCTGCCGCATTTCAAGTTCTCCATGGCCACATGTGGTCAAGTGGCCATCATAGCAGACAGCAGTTCTAGTTGATGGTTAATGAAAAAAAAAATCAGTTTTGCTTTCATCCTCTTATCTTTGGAAGATGCAGAGTCTTATTAAATTTGATGTGCCTGCCTCTTGGGATGTTACTGACCTGTGTTGCTCCTGTTGTTCTCGTTGTATGTGTGCATGTGTGTGCATGCGTGTGTGCCTGTTTTGAAGTAACAATTCTCACTGGGCTGAACCTCACTGACCCAAACACATACCCTGAAAGCAGAGCTTTAAACTCTCTAATGTTAATACCTTTGGACCTGAACTACACGGACTGCTGCTTTCTTTTATGCAGAAGCAGTGAGAAGTAAGAAAGGAACAGAAGTGCCGAAATGGCATCATGTGGGAACAGGGGAGGAGGGGGACAGCTCAATGTGCTCCCTGAGTGTCCTGCAGCTCACAGTTCAACATACTGCCCTACTCTGGCTCCAGGCAATGGTGAGAACTATTGTCCGAATTATTTCAACTGTGACTAAAACATATGAAAACTGCTGGCCATGAACACAAAGCATAGCGTGCCCTGGCCAAGACAGGGAGGGCTGGGGAAGGCGCCACTTCCTGATAGAGGGTTTTGTCTGATCTGCTCTGTGGATCTGGCAAGTGACAAGAGGGGCAATCTTCCTTTAACGTTCCCCTGAACGTTGAAAAAAAAAATAATCCCACACTTACAGAAGTGTTTGCAAATGAAATTATATGTCTGAGATTTGCTTTAAAATTATCCATGGGGAGAAGGAGTGAGTATAGTGGGAACAAGTTTGGCCATAGCCAGTGACTGTAGCTGATTAATTATTCTAGAGGTTCATGACACTATTCCCTCCACGTTTGGGGTGTATTTGAAAATGCCCTTGAAAATAACTAAGAATAAGAGAGGCAGGGAGAAAGTAGAGGGAGGGAAGAGAAGATATGTATGTATTCAGGAAATGTTTGTTTCTACTCATTTATGTTCAGTTTAGGCAAGAAGATTATACATCAGAAATTTCCACTATGATTTTTCATATTGTGGCCTAATTAAGTAATAGAAAGCAAATGCTAAAAAGTAGTCCCAGGTGTATTACCAAGTTAAATAGTAGAAAATAGAAAAGATAATTTCTTCTAAGAAATGGCTAGTGGAAAAGAAGTACAGTTAACCCTTGTGCAACACAGGTTCAAACTGTGCTGGCATGCTTACACGTCGATTTTTAAAATAAAAACTATAGTAATACACAATCCATAGATACAGACTGCTAACTATCTCCGGTGGGTCCTAGAACCAGTCCCCTGCACGTACCAAGGGAGTGAATGATAGGCAAGGGATACAGGCGACAGAAATTCACTACTTGATAACTACCTAAATTAGTTATGCTAAAGGTAACAGACATGAGATATGGTTTTGGCAATCATCCTTCATTTTTACTGAAATAAGGCAAGAAAAAAATCAAGAGGAAGTAGCCAAAAATGCCTCTCAAATGGCAGCTGAAATTTTCTGCTGTTTCTTGAGTGGCTTTTCCTAATGATGCTGCCAACTAAAAAGTTTGAAACTCTCCATAGAAAAAAGATAAGCAATTTAAAAATGTTTTCCATACATACATGATTTTTAAACATACCCAAATAAGCCATGAATCAATGGTCCCAAAAAGAGCTCTATCTTCTTCAACGGCCTTTTGAACTTTTCTCACATTGTCAAGGAGCCAACGAAGCTTCACCGCACTGAAATAAGTGCTAAGCGGAAGGCCTGTCTTGGACTAAATACAGTTATGACATTCAGCCAGGAAGTGAAATTCATAACAGCTTAAAATGAAACACCAAATCAAAAAGGTCAACAAATTACAAACTATGCAATGACCCTAAAGGCAATCTCAAAGTATTATGGATAAAAAAACACTTTTCCTATCTTGTGGCACAGGAAAGCATGTACGTGAACAAAGATCAGAGTGATATGTTCGCAGTTCAAAGAGCATCCATGTAGCAAGATAAAGAGAAAATTAAATGACACATGCCCTGAAACCTAGATAGCTCAGCCACAGATGTTAACTTTTGTGATAAGTTAGTATTACATACAGAACCTAGTCCAAAACCCTGCCTTTTATTTTATATTCACTGAAATTAATATTTAAAACTATTGAAAATCAGAGAATGCAAGTTTATCAATTCATAAACTAATGACCACAATCAGAAAATTGTTTTAAGATAGATAAGACTTAACAAAAACAATATATTTGTGTGCTAAAAATATAATAAATACATAGTCAAACACACATACATATTCAAATAACATAAAATTGGTGGACAATAGAGCTCAAAGACACGCCAGATGAAAGCAACCCAAAGTTGTTCTATTTAAGAAAGTAGTTGCCAGTTGAAATATAATATTGTACACATGAAACTTATATGATTTTACAAACCAATGTTACTTCAATTAAATAGTGTATGTCTATATATATATATATATATATATGATTGAGTTTGCATAAATTCCACAAATACATTCAACAAAGGGAGGGTTAACTGAATAAAGGATAGAAGGTAAAAATGAAACAAAGGTTTCCTTGAGAATGGATCCAGTCCAACTCATTTTAGTTAGCATATCAAACACTATATTTAGAAGGGCTGGTGAAAGTGATTTAAAAAATATATCAAAATAATGCAACTATCTTTTCCTTCTTGATCCCCATTCTCATTTAGCACCTCACCTAACTGCAGGAAGTGATCCCTTTTCCTTCTCACCTCCCATGGATATGCGTACTAAAAAGTCTCTAACTATTTAACTCTGTAATGCAACCTTGTAAGTTAAGAATCTTAACTCGCAGTTTACTGTGAAAAGATCCATGCTCAAAAATTATAATAGAAATAACATATGGACTTATAAATAATAGAAATAACATATGCTTCATTTGAGGGACCAAGGGTCATCCCACAAACCAAAGAGTAAGGTAGCATATAAGTATCTTATTTTTATGATTTAAGTAGAAAGTGTAAAAGTTGCCTAAAATGGCTTTGGAGAGAAAAACATGCATCCCATAAAGCAAAGCATGGCTGGAGGTAGGCGTGAGGTTTGGGCAGGTTGATCAACAATAGGAAATGGGTGATGGTACATTCAGGACAAGACCGAAGTTATATGGGTGGGTAAGGGTAAAGGATGGTTTATTAGATTGATGCAATTAATGGGATTTGAGCACTAGTTGTGGCTCAGCTGGTAAAAAATCCACCTGCAATGCAGGAGACCTGGGTTCAGTCCCTAGGTTGGGAAGATCTCAACCCAGAATGGAAAGGCTATCCACTCCATTATTCTGGCCTGCAGAACTCCACGGACTGTATAGTCCATGGGGTCGCAAAGAGTCAGACACGACTGACTTTCACTTTCACACTTTCACTTTCAGAACCAACAACCACAAGAAACTACCATTTAAGAGTCCCACTGACAAGTATAATGGAAATAAACCAAAAGCCCCAAACAAAAAAACAAACCAAAAATTAAAGAAACAAAAAACTCTGGAATTTCCTTTTGGATACTAGGAGAACTTGACCTTGCTAACAAAAGTACCTCACCTGTTTTAAAATTTTTCTCCCCATTTGTCTGAAGAGAGATCTAGTTAAGGACCGAAAACTAGGCAATTTTTTGGCATCTTCATATGAAGAAAAGTGGAAGAGGAATTCACGTAAAGGCTGGAGTGTCTTTTACTTTCTCTCCCTGACTCCAGATGCCTAAAACCTCAAAAGCACCCAGAACTTTCTTTAATGGATGGTGAAAAAGCAAGAGAGAAGGATTTGGAAAGCATGGTGGAATTACAGAAACACTCCCTAAGGAGTACGGTTTAAGCCACTGGGACAGTTTATCATCCCCTCCAGTGCCTGGAGAATCCCAGGGACGGCGGAGCCTGGTGGGCTGCCATCTACGGGGTTGCACAGAGTTGAACATGACTGAAGCGACTTAGCAGCAGCAGCAGCCAGACTATTAATCTTGGAACATTATTTCTCCAATTCACCACAGGGCAAGAAAGACAGGAAGGTAACTATCTGTAGAGAAATATTCTATAAATTGTACCAAATAACTATTGTGCAATAAGACAGAAAGCCTGGTAAAATATCCAAGTTTTTTTTCTGTTAAATGAGCATTTTAATAGCATATTTTTTAAGAGATCTCTTACCTTGACAAAGTTATTATTTCCTGGAATTCTTTTACTAAGACTCTCAACGGTAGACTGGGTTCTTAGGTCAAGCCACACTATAGATCAAAACACAACAATAAATATGAAAAACTTGATTTAAAAAAAATCAAACCTTAATGAAATCACTGTCAAGGATAGGAGACCGATTAGTTTCTATAAGCAATTAAAATGCTGTAGCTTTCCAAAGACAGAAATTAGAAAATTAGAAGTGAATGGGCATATTGTTAGAAGAGAGGATAAATTTATGAGGGAGAATTTAAAGCTTTTATGCAAAATTATAGACCAAGTTAGGAGAACAATACATACCTTAGGGTGCTGATTTGGTATCCTTATTACAGAAAAAGATGAAAAAACTATGTTTTGGATATGGACTTTCTATGCATACATTGAGTGCAGAAAAAATCTAAATGCAAGGCAGGCTAGTTACCAGGGCAAAATGCACAGCTCAGGATCACTGTACTAGGTATAAAAGGCTGTACCTTGGAAAAACTGGGTAGCAATTTGTGACAAAGTAGAGAACCTGACACTATTATAGAGGAAAAAAAAATAGATTCATTTTCTTATGCACAGAATGCTTATTTATATTAAACTCTTTCAAAGTAGACTACAACCAGGAATCATTACATGAATCATTTAAAGGTCACCATTCTTTCTCCTTGCTAGATTATAAAATAAACTCTTCATTTTAACAGATCAACCTTGTTTTTACTGAGTAACTATCACCCACTTTCTGATCTCCCTAGTAGGAAGTTGTGTTCTGCTTTATGACAGAAGGCTTGAGAAAGAGAACGCATTAAAGGGTATACAAAGCAATTGTGAAATATGAACAATAGTATCAGCTGAGCTTTATTTGTCACATTTCAGTTCTGAACCAAGCTTTTGTAACTTTGAATCTGTGAGTGCTCACTCGATATTTTTAGGCACTGACTATGCTCAGATGCCTCCTGAAAACAGTCTATTTAAAGGGCACGAGGAAGATCACGCATGCTTGTCTGCTACCCATGTGAGTGCTGGCAGTTACTGTCTAGTTTGGTTCACCTTTAACTATACTACGCCTTTCTCTTCATTTAAAAATCAGTTACTTCCTGTTGTGGATTTTAATCAATTCTTTTTAATTACTTAAAGCATTATTTCCCTTGAGGGCAGTCTGTGCTTGACTTTGACGGTGGCTACTTTGCAGGAGAATCGAATCAGGGACTTTGGGATACTATACTGCTGTGGTCCCCAACTTGTTGGCACCAAGGACTGGTTTCGTGGAAGACAATTTGTTCCAGGACCAGGGCAGGGGAGAGGGGTGATGATTCAAGTGCAGTAGGGTTCGAGCTCCTACGAGAATCGAATGCTGTTGTTGATCTGATGGAGGTGGTAATGTGAGGGATGGAGAGCGGCTGTGAATACAGGTGAAGCTTTGCGTGCTTGCTTGCCCTCCATTCACCTCCTGCTGTGTGGCCCAGTTCCTAACTGGTCACAGACCAGTACTGGTCCATGGCCTGGGGGTTGGGTACCCCTGCTATACTGGTTTCCAAAGTAGAAAACAAGGCTCTTCATCACCAAGGAAACAGGAGTCAAAGAGGAAGCCCATGGAAATACATGGCCAAACAATGACCCCTGCTCTTTGCTGCCAGGCATCCATTCCTCCTGCTGCTGGGAGCTGTAGCTCTAATTCTCTTTAGGAAACCACCCCTCCTTCAACCTCAGCCTGAGATTCCACCCTACCCTCGGCTCTAGGATCTTGTCCCCAATGATGGGTTCAGGTGTAGTCAGATTAGCCTGCCTGAGATTTTTGTGCTTAGTCCACAAGAGTCCCTGTTCTCAGCTCAGCTTGGGAGTGTGCAGCTGGGACCTGCTGCACCCTGGAAGAGAGCTGAATTGGCCACATCTGGAGTCAACCTCAAAGAGACAGACTGATCGGGGATCCAGGTGATAGTCTGACTCAGGAATCAAACAGCACCTGAACAAAACTACTCATAGGATTTCTGTTTTTTTCCCCTTATAACTTCATTTTAGTTGGGGCTGACTTTTCTATGACTTGCCCTGGGATGGATATAAGCCATCAGTAGCAGCATGATGGAGTCTCCAAGGTCTCCTGTGTCCAGGGAACATGGCAATCTATCCACTTTATCCAAAGAGGCAGTGGTGTGTGACTGTGACCCAAGTGGACCTTCCTCATAGGCAAGCAACCCTAGCAGGTGTTATATGGCTGGACCAGAGTAGTTGGGCAAAGTAGAGGCATTCTAGAGAAAAGTTTTAAATCTGTGACAGGTAGAATTCACAAGCACATCTCAGTCCTCCATGTTTCAAACTACAATGGGCTAGGGGTTTAAAAATCAATGTAACTTTGATTACCTATGCAAAAAAAAAAAATGAAATAAGATGCGTTAGGATGGAAAATGTCAACATTCACTGAACTCAGCAGGATAAATATTGACTTATGAAACTTTGTTTTAGTTATGCTGGTTTGCTGAATCATGAGTTTTTATCAAGGGACACTGCTCTAGGCTTTAGGCTTTTTTTTGCTTACTGATTCAAAGCCTTTCAGATCAGCATTTTTTTCCTATATTTTAATGGACATAAAAATTACTAGGGAGTTTAAAGATAAATCCCACTGACAGAAATTCTAGGACAATAAGTCTAGGGAGGGGGCCCAGAAATTACACCTTTTAAATAGATGCCCTCTCTTTAAGAAACACTGCGAGACTCAACAGCAGTGGTTCTGATCCAGAAAGCACACCTGAACCACCTGGAAAATTTTGAAATCACACATCCTGGTCCCTACATCAGAGGATTCTTATTTTATTTTTTCTTCTGTGGCCATGCTGCATGGCATGTGGGATCTCAGTTCCCCAAGCAGGGAAATGAACCCGCGCCCCCTGCAGTGGAAGCGTGGAGGCTTAACCACCAGGGAAGTCCCTGCATTGTAGGAACCTGGTTGCGAGTCCAGGCAAGGAGGGCCTGAGTCCTCCCACCTGTGTTATTCGTGTTCTGCTCAAGCTTGAGAACCTCCTTTTTAGGGCAAGTTCTTTAGGACACTGAATTTGTCTCAGTTGTTAATTTCAAAACAAAACTAGACACATACTGATGATCAAGTGGCTCTACTGCTCTTGGGCAAGGACCACTTAAGTTAACGGGCACTATGCTCCTCACTTGAAAGCTTTGAAGTGCCCACAGTACTGGTATCTGGTATCCACAGAATGAAACCCTCACCGAAGAGACTCAAAACACTGGAGGTGAAATCTACATTTTAGGCTTTGCCGCCAACAAGCTATGTGACTCAAGCAAGTCTCGTTTCCCTTTAGGACCTGGGTTTCCAGCATATAAAATAAGGCAGTTTAGACTAGATGGTCTCAGAAGTCCCTCGCCTTCCATTATCCCATGATCACGGAAGGCTGGCAGAATTTTTGTTTTTATAACTCGAGTTTAAAGCGATTAGAATACATGGAATGAATTAGTAAAACTGCCAAAGAGGAAAATGTCAGTGGTCGGTACACTACCAAGCAATACACAAATGTTTGAAATTAATTGAATTAAGAACAAAGGAAAATTAGAAAACTCATTAAAGGAGCGAAGATGGCAGAATTACATGAGCAGAATAAGAGACCAAAAGCCAAAGAGAAGATCCCGAGCAGGAGGACTAAGCCCCATGTGGAGGTAATTTCTGAGAACAATCAGAAGAGGTGCTAGATCCAGAACCAACAGCAGCAGTCAATTTTCCCCAACACATCTGAGTTGGAAGCTGGGGCGCGAGCAAGAGACAGAGCACCAATACCTGAGGAAGCGCCAGCAGCTGGAACTGAAGAGCCAGAGGGAACAACGGCAGCTGGATCTGAAGGACCGGGAGAAACTGGAGCAGCTGGAGCATTAGGAGAAATAATGGCAATTCATGCTAGAGATGGCCAGGTTCAAGGTTCGCGTTCTCTTCCTGACCATTTAGAACATGGTGGCTCATATGGGCAGGTTCATCAGAATGAACAGTTTTCTACCCATTTGAGTGTAGAAAAAGATAAGAGAAGTGCAGCAGAAGGGGAACAGAGGCTGTCCAGTCAGTCTCTGGTTCAATAGCATTTCCGGCTGGACAAAGATCAGGTCAATTCCTGCTTCTTGTTCAGATGACTCTTCCCTACCTGGCCACAGAGTCTGTGTCCTGGTTAGGAAAGTGGCTCAGTTGGTTATTGACTGCTGACCCGACCGCAGAACTGAAATGCTGTGTGATGCAGTGAGTGAGTGCATCACTAGGGGATGTATGAATAGAATGTTAAGGGAACTGCTAGTCTCTGCTGAAGGGGGCAGGGCACCCATAGGAAGACAAGTGGATTTGGGAAGGCAGTGCTCCAGGAAAGCACTCCCCTGGAAGGGTGGCAGGAGGTGAAGTCCACAGAAAGCAACAGCATGTCTAGAGGAAACAGAGAATTGCTCAGTCCCAAAGTAATTCAGAAAAACATCGGAAGGAAAACAGAGTCCAGAACACCATACAGCCTGTTTCTAGAACACAAGTCCCTTACTTAGACTAAATAAACTGGATTTAAATGGTTCCCACCATCAAATGAATAGGTTCCAAAAACCCAACTTGGGTGACCTGGAATTTGTCTTTGTATTAAATGAAGTCATATCCAATATATGTGTCAGAGATTTAGTTTGTTCTGAAAAACAAAGTTTTAAGAGTAAAGAAAAATGCAGTTGCCTCAAAAGCCCATGGGTCAAGGTTAACTGAGTGATAGAGTAAACAGTATAGAGGAAGAAATCTGTTTTAGAATATTTAGAAATTTTAATCAGCTTTGGTTAGTTATAACAATAGAAGGGAAATGTACCAAAGGGGGGAAAAAACACACTAGAGATCATCTAAATTATTTTCAGTTGACTAGAAGCAAAGGCAAATAATACAGCTCCTAGGGATGATTTGCTATGAGGTGCTACTGGCCTGACAGTGAGATAAGGTAAGGCTACAGGTTATGGAAGGACTAAGCAAGGACCGCTGACAGTCACACTCAATGTTTTGGGGTTGCTTTCCCCACAATGGACATTAAATCTAGGAAACCAGATTTAACTGCTATGTGTTATGGTAATTAGTCAAAAGTTAAGCTATTATAATTAAGCTGGGTATGAGGTCATTTGCAAAGGGGAAGAGACTATCCATCAGCTGATTACTTTCTGAAATCAGGTGCCAAGAGAAAAATGGAGAGTTGGGGGAGGGGGCAGTGAATGAAAACATGTGTGTCAAAATTTGGGGGCTGAAACCCATTTCAGCTTTTACGTGTATAAATGTCAAGATGCCAGTGGCTGACATGAGTGCATGTGACCCCAGGTAGGCTCTGTGTTTCCCCTAACACCTGTTGTTTCAACCAGCCATTTCATCTGGCATTCCTGGACTGAAAAGGTCATCAGCCAACTCAGAATAGTGGCCATGTTCTGAATACTTACTGAAGCCTGATCGTCCGCTAGGCATTGTTTTAAGTGTCCTATGTATATTAATTCATTGATCCTCAAGTCTATGAGGGCCACTTTTAATTTCTCCAGCTTAATCACTCAGGAAACAGGCACAGAATGGCAGTAAGTGGAAAATGTAGAATTTGAACCCAGAAACTGAGTCCAGAATCAAATCTCTATGATAGAGATGTAACCAAGAAGAAGCCATAGCCTTAAATAGAATACAAAAAAACATAGCTCCAAGTTGAACTCTAATTTAGTTTCTTTTTATTTAAAGTGGCAGAGTTGAGGAATTCAAGCAACACAAAATATGGCAGTATTTCTTTACCCAGGATTGAAGGAGATGTAAGACATTCAAAGAACTATGTAACAAAAGACATGAAAAAATGAAAAATAAGTGGATTGTGACAGAGTGGAATATTCCATATTTTAACAAAAAATAACAATCTGTTCCATTCCCAAGAAAAACAATACAAAGCCACACCTTTGTTGTTTAAGACCAAGCATGCTTAGGAGTTTTAGGAGGTTTGCCAGCTATGGTTTTCTCTCATGTTGATACTCTGAAACATATCCCAGTTCCCAAAAAGATACAAGAATTGAGCTCAAGGTTCCTTCAGATCTCAACAGATGACTAACCCGATTTAGTCATTGGCCTGGGGTGAACTAATATGCAAAATTTTTTAAAAAAGGTAAAGAGAATGACCAATGTCTAAAACTGTCACTCTCTGCATAAAGAGTCATGTGTCACTGGAAACTTTAAATCCAGTACCTTAGAAAAAATGTTTGTAATACCATTTAAAGAAGGAATAATGGCTGAGAGACACATGATTTTAATTGGTGGTTTTCTGTAATATACTACAGGGCTCACATCAGTGACTTTGGCCTCCCTGGATATTAGTCCTTACTATGAATAATATTTTGACATTAAATCATGAATCGTAATTGTATTCAACAGAAAGCTACCACAATGAGGGTCCTATTGCACTTGGCTTGCCATGCGCACCAAGCAACTTCAGTAGTGAGTGATGAAACTTAGCCAAGAAGTGGGGAAAGAGCCGGGCCATCCGAGTCAGGCCAGAATGTTTCCCGGGCAGCGTCAGTGAAATGTGTATATGAATTTGCAAAAATATCCGTTGATTCAAGCCTTCCCCCACTTAACATCTGAACTACCTGGGGAGCTTTGTGCTTCTTTATCAGTTTAGTCTGTGGTACATCTGTCAATCTAAACCTCCTTTTCAATACTATTAAGAAGACAGCAAGGCCTGTAGACCACTTAGAAAAAAAGGTGGTTCTGGAAGGAAAAGGCTTAGAAAAATGGTGGGGAGAGGAGTGGAGGGAATTCTTTGGAAAATATTGATGAAGATAATGCTGAGAGGGAGAGAGAAAAGTCAGAGGGATGAGGAAAACGAAAGACAGACGAGAGAAGGCAGAGACCTGCTTCAGATCCAGGGCCACAAAGCTGCTGCAATCCATCTGTGAGACCGTCACGGCTGCATCATGGCCCAGAGACTAGGAAGGAGGGATGTGTTTTATCTCCACCTTGGGTACCACACCAACGTTCACCTCGCCAATCACAGAACTAACATAGAAACGCTAAGACCATGTGAAGCTTCTAAAACAGATCATCTGTGCCTCAATGGATGCCTCTGCATGTTTTCCTATCTCATAAGCATATTGTTATAAAAGATGTCAGACAACAAACACACCCTGATGAGAAGGAAGAACAAATAGCCTTTCTTGGTCTTCAACAAGCCTGTTTCATGTCCACTAATAGGACCCTGAATTTCTCCTCTCTGTTATTGTACAGGGGTTGAGTGAGTAGATTACCTATCAAGGACCCCATAAAAATGGTTGACATAATAAAAAGCAATTAAAAAAGAAGACTGTCCCTCTCCTGTGCTTGCCTATAACAAATACTATTCATCGGTTATATAATTTACTAAGTAAACAGAGAGAAAAATGAAGAAGCACAGGATAGGCTTCAAGTGAGAAAAGGTTTACAAGAGGAAGGGACAAGAAGGAAGAAAATATATAGATAGAGAGAGAGGGAAAAAGGGGAAAACCCACAGGCCATAATATAAATGAAGACAAAGATATGTAAAATGCTGATTCTGTTTCCATCAATTCCCTTTGGTCTTGTTTCAAGATAAAGCTGCTAAAGATTTCATATTGTGTTGATATTCTCAACTGAAAACTTGCATGGACATATGCCACCTTAGTATTTCCTGGGTGGAAGAAAATTGGAGGCAGAATTTATCCTTGTCATGACTTAGTGGTGTCTCCTCCCAGCTAATTACTCCCTGTCCTCCTTTTCTATTCTCTTTCCTTGTCTAGCCTCCAAATTTCTACCCCTAGCCTTCTGTGTCACCAAGGCAAGCATAGTAACTGCCTGGTTTGTCACTATCTGCCTAGGGGTCATCACAGAACCTGTCTACAGAAAGGTACTTAAACTTTAGTTGCATAAATTAATGTAAACTTCATTCTTATGTGAATTCATCTATAATAAACTGAGACTATATTAACAACTTTTTTTTTTGGATGCACCACAAGGCATGCAGGATCTTAGTTCCCGGACCAGGGATCAAACCTGCACCCCCTGCATTGGAAGCATGGAGTCTTACCCACTGGATCACCTGGGAAGTTCCTGTTATCAACATTTAAGTCTACATTTTGAATGATCTCTTTATAACAGAGCCACAAATTCTAACTGTCCAGAAATGAGCTTTAATTCCAAGTCCCATATTCAATTTGTCCAAGAGAGAAAGTCATTTTTCTCTCATGTTGGCACTCTTTAAATATTACTTAATTTCCTTCTGTTCTCTCAGGCTAAAAATCTTATAGCCCTGTTTTATTTTTGCCTCATGTTTATGTCCTATTCAATTTCCAAACATACCAGTTGTATCTTTCCTCTGAAAGGTCTGGCCAATTTGTCTCTCCAATCTTCCTGTTCTAATCCCATCAGCTCATTAGCGGTTTCAGTTAACTCCTTTGCTTCAGATTTTACTGAAGAGAGTAATCTGGTCCTTTTTAATATAATTACTTACATGGTAGGATTTAAATACTTCTTATTTGTCCTTTCTTCCTGGTTCTATTCCTTTTTCTTTCCTTTCTTGCCTTCTTTTTAAAAGTCATTCCATTTCCCCCCTTTATTATACATTATTTACTCTCTTACTGCTTACTCTAGAGATTACAACATGCATCCTTGACAGTACTGGGACCACAAGACACTTTAACCTCATCTACTGCATATTCCTTTCATGTACTATTGTTGCTATGTAGTATTTAAAATTTTAATATATTTTGAACATCACAATACATTATTATTTTATACAGTCAAAATTCAGTTAGAATGACCTACATATTTTCTCTTTCTTGGCCTCTGTGTTTCTCCTTGCATTGCCGAATTTCCACCTGAGAACATTTTTTTCCTTTTACTAGAAAAAAACTACTTAGTTTTTCTTTCAGTAGGGATTTGCTTGTAATGATTTTTCTAAGTTTTGGTTTGTTGTTGCCTTTATATTTTACCTTCATTTCTTAAGGATATTTTCACTAAATATAGAATTCCAGGTGGATATTATTTTCTTTTAGCACTTCAAAGATTTCATTCCACTGTACTCTGCTTCCATTGAGAAATCGGCTAGAAGTTTTAGTGTTGCTCTCTTCAAAGTCACGCCCTCTGGCTACTTTAAAATTCTTTTTATCTTCAGGTCTCAGCCTATGTTTGTGTATGACTTTCTGTGTATATATCTTGCCTGGGGATTCATAGTGCTTCTTGAATTGGTGGCATATTTTTCAACAGTTTTGAAAAAACTTTTCTCTCTCTCTCTCGCTTTCCTTTTCTTCTGGGTCCCCATTTAAAAATATGTTGAACCTTATTTTACTCTATATTTCTCTTAGATACTTTTCTGCATTTTCTTAACCTTTGTGTGTCTGTGCCTCAGCTGTGTCTAATATGATGTAAAACTCATCAGTGGAGTTTAACACCATTATAAAATTTCTATCCTTAAATTTATAATTGTTTGCTAAGATTATCAATCTTCCCAATGAATTTCTTATGGTTAAAGCCTGGTAACTCTAATATTAGGATTTCCTATGGGTCTGTTTATAATGTCAGTTGTTTCTTTTGGTTTTCAGTCATTCTTTTTTTGAACACCTTATATTTTTTAAAATAGAAAACTAGAAATTGTAGAAGAAAAAGGAATGAATAAATAAGCATATCACAAAAAGTCTTCCTGGTAAAATATTTACTGAAATCCTTCACTATAATTATAACTTCAACTAACCTAGTTGCATTATTTTAAAATGACAACTCAAAGTCCAAAGCTGCATTTCTACAATTCAAAGTTTATAGTTTAATAAGAACTTTCTGGTTCCTGTGAGTAGGTCCTTCCTTTCGTGAGGGGGAAAACAAATGTGAAACCCTAACTAGTATAAAAAGTTGGCTAACATTCGTCTGTGAAAGAATACTCTCCTAGTCACTAAAATTGTAATATCCTGCTTATAATCAAAATGAGCTGCTCATGAGAATGAGAAGAAAATAAAGATTCAAAAGAGGTACTTTGTCTAATAGGACCTTTGGCTGCAATTCTTTGACCTTTTTTTGCATCTTTAGTTTTTTATCACAAGTACAGAAGACATACTAAATGCTTTCTTATAACACAGTAACATTAAAAACCTTAATTTTTTATAAAGATTCTTTCCAAAGGATTCACGCTACTCTTACAAAACACTTTTTAAGCATATTTTCTGCTTGAACGTCACTTTTTTCCAATCTATACTAAAGTAACTGCAAAGTAAAAACTGCTCTCTCCATAAATCATTCCATCTCTGACAACTTCTGTCTCCACTCCCCAACCCACAACCTGTTACTTTATTGACCAAAAAATGGTGCTTTTCTATGTGTGACAGAATGATGCCTTTTAGTGATTGTATATTTAGAAGAGAATCTTCCTTTTAGTAAGTGACAGTGTCATTCAAAGCTCAATTGTCATGTGCTGCTAAGAGTGAGACTCAAATATACGTGCTTATTTCCGCTGAATAAAGCATGATATCTAATGGTGGTATGTTTGAGACTGAGCCTTTCCACCCTGTGGACATAGCCATGTTTATAGCAGAAGGAGCTAAAATGATGAGATTTTTGTTTTCATAAGCTCAGCAGAGTCGATTCAAATGCCTATATGGGAAGAACAAGTACACAAATACTTTACGGAGAGGTAGATATGGGACTGGGAACATGTGTAATCTTGAGTTTTGAGGGGAGGAAGAGGTGAGATCTCTTTCAGGTGTCAGAAACAGCAGGGATTACGAAAAGTTCTAGCCATACTGATTCACTTGTCTGATACAGATTATCAGGATGGGGAGAGCAAAAGAAAGAGTTAATTCAACATGGGAATAACTATCCGAAATTGGTAAATATATAACAACCCATTTCTTAGAAGACTCTTTGAGATTATAGGAAACATGACTTCATGCTTTTTGAGCCAGATGTTTTAGCATGACCACATCTGCAAGTAGAAAAAGGCCTTGCATTTGACATCCATGCACAACAGCTTACCCACAGCGTTGTAGAGAGGTTCTCCAGTTAATTTGTCCCAGACTACAGTGGTTTCCCTCTGGTTACTGACACCAATAGCTTTCAAGAGAAAATTAAACAGAAAAGAATTAAAAAAAAAACAAGCAAAAATCTGAGGATAGTTCTCTTTTTTTTATATAGTCACAAGTAAACAGAACAATGTGGAAAAAAAAAAAAAAAAAAAACATTTGGAACGTTGGTAGTGGTATTGAGTTGATTTTCTTCGAAAGGCCCAAGAAAAACGAACCTCCAAGTCAAGCTTCTTTTTTTTTTCCTACAGACTCCTTCTCTCTTTACTATCAGCACACCATGACACAGACCCAGATAAATAGCGAAAAGAGAGACTTGCAGGTTGGCTTATAAAAAGGGAATGCAATAACTTCCCCAGTTTACAACACCCTATTTATTATGCTGAGGCAACCAGCAATAACCTCATTCATTTATTTACTAACTGCTACAAGAAATTTCCCTGTGTGTGTGTGCACACACACATCTACATTTAAAAAAAAAAAAAAACAGCCACCGATAGAATCCTTCATGCTGGGTAAACTCGTATTATGGTTAGTTAGAAATTCAGTTTTCTTCATTTAATAATAGTTTACAAGACATAGAGTTTGAATCAGGCGTAAGGACAATATGTGATGGCAATTACCTCATACTAATCTATATACAACTCAAGGGCTATAGTTACAGTAAGTTACTCTAAGTAAAATACCATTCCATACCATTTTATTCAGTTTAGCTTGATTCATCTAAATTGGAGGTTTTCAGACTTGGCTGTATATTAGAATCAACTGCAGAGCTTTTATAGATTTCTAGTACCCAGGCCCTGCAGCAAACATTCTAATTTAACTACCTGGGGTAGCATCGGAGCATTGGTATATTTTTCTTAATACTCCCCACATGTATAGAGTTGCATATGCTGGACTAAAGGGTGGTGCTCTTTCAGAATTTAACCTTAAAGGCAATCTAACCAACCCATTATGCTCAAATCTCTGGAACTGCCTGTTACGAGACCATTCAGACAGCACTTCTAGTGAAAAGATACTACCTCTCACGAGGCAAACCAAACTCTACTGCATAGCTTTGCTATTTGAAAAAAATCCTTTTCCTCATCGCTTCTGCCTGTCGATCTTTGCCACACTCTTTGGAGATACAAGAATAAGGTGACTCCTTCCACAGGTCAGCCTTTCACACTTGAGGCAGTTATTCTGTTCCTCCAGGCTTCTCTTCCCTTGCCAAGGCTGAACAATCCAATTTCGTTCCACTGCCCCCACCTCCATACAGCATGGTTTAAAGTCCCTTCACCACCTCCTCTAGGAACATGCACCTATCTGTCCAAATTACTCACACTGTACCCCAGAATAAACACACTAGCAACGTTCTGACCGACAGAGATCTAAAGGGGACCAGCAGCTCCCTTGTTTTAAACCATCTTCATCCAACGCAGAGTTACTCATTGTAACACCTTGCCTAGATGTACAAAGATGAATGAGATTCCACTACCAGGAAACTTAAGAGGCACAGGGTGAACGGAAGAGATTTGGGGGTGATTTTTTTACAAAAGGAAGACAAAAATGTTTGCAGGAATATAGGAAGAGAAAGAAGAATATGGGGGTAGGGGAGGAAGGGGTCTGGAAATGAATGGGACACCGTCCTGATTCTTACATTAACAGAGGGGATGAGATTAACACCCAGGGAGGAGCTTCACTAGGGCAGAAGCTTATTTGCTGCCCTGGTGGTGGAGGGAAGGGGGCAAGAGATACAGACAGGAACAGGGACAGGAAGTTGAGGAATTAAGATGCCAGGACCTCAACTTTCTCTATGAAGTAGTGTACAAGGCGATCTGCCAAAATGGGAATTGTGCAATTGGGCACTGTCCAATAGAACTCAGGCTCCAAAGCCAGGCTGACTTTGCTTTCTAGCAGTGTAACCCTGGGTCTCAGTTTTATCTTCTGTAAAATGGACACCACCAATAACTCCCACCTTGAAAGTGCAAGTGTTAGTTGCTCAGTCTGTCTGACTCTTGCAACCCCATGGACTGTAGCCCGCCAGGCTCTTCTGTCCATGAAACTTCCCAGGCAAGAATACCTGGAGTGGGTTGCCATTCCATTCTCCAGGGGATCTTCCTGACCCAGGGATTGAACCTGGGTCTCCTGCATTGCAGGCAGATTCTTTACCATCTGAGTCATCAGGCAAGCCTTACCAGGTTCCAAAAAGGGAAACCTGAATTGATGCCTATTAAAACAGTGCGTGAGAGGACACACATATATCCATGGCCAGTTCATGTTGATATACGGCAGAAACCAGCACAGTATTATAAAGCAATTACCCTCCAATTAAAAATAAATAAATAAATAAACAAACAGTGCCTGGCACACAGTAACCACTCCATACGTGTTACTTATGGCTGCCGTTTAGTGACATCATTGCTATGCAGACAGTGGAGTGTCAGTCGCAAGGAATGGGACTGAATGAAGTGGGACACACAAAAATAAAGGAATTCCCTAGCAGCGCTGTGGGCACAGCAGAGGTCAGAGACCTCAGCAGGACCCTGGCAATGGTTGTTAAGGTGAATTTCACAATGAGGACTCATCAGGAATTCATGCTCTACTAAACTCTCCTATTCTTCCCCACTGCATTAATTAGCGGTTAACTAGTTGTCTGCTTCCTGAGTTGCAATCCTGGAGTTTCTATTCTATGCCCTTCAGGCTACCCTTCTTTATGGGCTCATTCTACCTGGTATTTAGAACATTATCTAGAACTACTGCCCTCTGAGTCATCAGTCACAGGTTCCACTCTGACCACCCCTTCTTTCCCCTCTCTCTCAATTTGGTTCCTTCATGCCAAGCAAAAGTGCTTTTCTTGCAGACAAAGTCCAGCGAACCAGCTTTCTCAGGACACTCTTCCAGACACAAACACGTCTGGCACTGCTTTCTCTGATACAGGTCTCTGAACTTCTTTCATAAGCTGAATTCTTGCCATTTTTACCCTAAAATCCTCTAGGTTTTTCTATGCTCCTGAAAGAAATCTTTTCTGACTGCGCAGGTACTTATCTTAATAGTTTCCAATTTTAATTCCCCCTTTTTCAGAGTAACATGTTTAGGTTTCATAATTTGCCACCCGAGTCAAGCTACACTAAGAGCCTATGACATAGAAGTCTTTTAGCTGCAGATATTATAATCATTGGCACATATGAAACCCAATGTATAAAAAAAAACCAAGACCAAACAAACAAAACAAACAAAACACCCCAATGTATTACTCTTGTACCTGGCAGATACTTTTTTAGGATTTTGTTTTCCTCAACACTGAGTGTCTCTATAAAACTAACTAGTTAAATGCTACATTCAAAATCTGGTTAAATTTTGCTTAAGATTGCCTATGAAAAGTTATAACTGCAGTTAAGAAAATATAATGAGGAAAAAGCCTTTGGAAATAGTCCAGAATGTTATCATTGTTGTCTTCGTAGAATTATAGATGACATGCATCCTTATTTAAAAATAAGTTATAATTTATAATTGGAACACATTTCTGAAAAAAAAAATGAAAAACACACATAGTAAAAGAAAGTGGCTCCATGGTAAAGAGTACATCTGCCAATACAGGAGACGCTGGGTCAGGACTATCCCCTGGAGGAGGAAATGGCAACCCACTCCAGCATTCTTGACTGGAGAATCCCACGGACAGAGGAGTCTAGCAGGCTATGTCCATCGGTTCGCATGGAGTCGGACACAACTGAGCACACACACACAAACTGATACAATCCCTAGAGGAAGGCTCTGGGACTACTGGAAGGTCCATGTGGGAAGCAGTATAAAGCTTTCTAAGAAAGCAACAGAGGAGTGCTTATGGCAAGTTGTAACAATTGCAAATGCTATCTGGCCACTGCTGAGAAGTGCTTTGGGACAAAGAAGACCTTTTCTGAAAGGCAAAGTCTGAGAGGTGAAGGAAATGTCTGTGGATATGTTGAGTAGGGTGAGGCAGTGGGCGTGGGGGCTTCCTTGTTTTGCAAGGGTGTGAGAACTACTATCTAATCACTGAGGATTTGATGCTCTCAGTGTATTTTGTGTTCTGTTTGTAGCTCATGACAGAGGATGAATGAGAGAGATTATCTGGTTTTGTCACTCTGTATGCTTTTTATTTGAATTTTTTATTGGGGTCTAGCCAATTAACAATGTTGAGATAGTTTCAGGTGAACAGCAAAGGGACTCAGCCATACATAAACCTGAACGCATTCTTCCCCGAACTCCCCTCCCCTCCAGGCTGTCACAGAACACTGAGCAGAATTCCCTGTGCCATACAGCAGGTCCTTGTTAGTTATCTCTTTTAAATACACCAGTGTGTACATGCCCATCTCACACTCCCTAACTATCCCTTCCACCTATCCTTCCCCTTGGCAACTATGAGTTCGTTTTCTAAGTTTGTGAGTCTCTTTCTGTTTTGTAAGGAACTCTGCTTGTACCATTTCTTTTTAGATTCCATATATAAGGGATGTCATACAATAGTTCTCTTTGTCTTACTTCACTATGACAATTTCGATGTCCACCCATGTTGCTGCAGATGGCATTATTTCAGTCTTTCTAATGGCTAGTCAGTCTGTATACTTTGAATTTCCTTCAGTCCAGTGACAGCCAAACAGAGCTGCCCAGCTCTCTAAGCCAACAAGGAAAGCAGCAGCCTATTTACTTGTCTTGGGCTCCTGTGAGCTGTTAAACTAGAAAGTGAACTCTGATTTTAGAGACGCTATTTGTAGGGACCTGAAATCAACACACTTCGGCTGATGAGGACAACTAAAACCAATGAAACTGGAGTTTGTAAAAGAAATACAACCAGCTACGATGAATTCAGTGATTACCAGGTAAGTGATCAATGAGTCACTCTTTAGTGGGGGAAAAAATTATTTATTTGCCACACTGCAACTCAAAACTCAAGCCATTTTGAGGTTAACATCTGTGCGGCTCAGGAAAGAGACGACTTGACCAGGAGACAGGGCAGCTGAGCATGCATGTTATCCACCACTAAAGAGCTCCACGACCTGTTATGGCTTCCTGTGCCCTCATCCGCAACTCAGTTTGGGTGATGGAAAATCCTTTACCTCATGAGGCTTCTGGGACCTAGAGCTCTAGCCAAAACTTGGCCCTTGACAGCGCCAATTCAAGAAATTATCTGGGAAAAAAAATTTTTTTAGCAAAATTGGCCTGGTATGGATGGGCTTGTGGAATGTTCTCTTATTCGGCCATAGGCTGGAGTTGTTGAGGAGGAAATGCTGGGTCACTTTGATTAGGGCATAAGTTTCACACTGGCCAGACACAGAGGAGCGGAGAGCAGGGAGCTGTGTGTTCAGCGCTCTTGCAGATAGTGCAAGTGGAAGACGAGTCACTTGGACTGCAGTTATGTGACATCTTCATGAACACCACAAAAACAAGAGAAGAAAGAACCACCTGCGTAGGTCCAGAAGGCTAACACACCGCAGGCTACCTCACCTGTAAGGGAGGTAGAATGAGGTCAAAATCATGGCCAGTGGCTCTGGAGTCTACTTCCTGAACATGGAGTCCAGCCACCTAGATGATTAACATCACTGCTAATGGATATTTTGACCACAGAATGTGCTGCTGAATGCCTCATATGTTTACACTGTTTAGACTGTGAAAGCTGTGAGGACAATTCAAGAAAACCAACCAACAATCACTTTCACATGCAACTCATCTAAAACTTGGTGAATGCAACTATGAAAGAAGTATGAAGTTCTTCCCTTAGATGTAGGAATAAAATGAGGGTAGGAGATTAAAAAATTGTTAACCTACATCAAACTGCCCATGGGTATTTCTTGTAAAAATCTGCACTGAAAGAAATATCACTGTTATAGTATCCCATGAATTTGTAATGGGATTGACATGTTTCTCCCATTTGACAGCTGTACACCCCTGTTTGTGTTCCACTGTGTCCCAAGGGCACTTAGCACATTGTAGGCACTCTGAGTTTGCTGAATGACTAGCTTTGATTGTCCTTAGTCTTTTTTTGAAAAGACCTTTATTTAGGAAATAAGGGAAACTCGGGGCGGGGCGGGGGGTGGGGGGAATCAATGTTTCAACTTAGGAGTACAAGTCAATTTCAGAGCCAAGATGACATGAATTAAGGAACCAACAACAACAACAAATTGTTCCCTCAATCTAGAGACAAATTAGCTAAGGAAGAAAGAGAACAGCCCTTGAATGAAGAGCTAGAAACATTTAAACTCTTAAGTAGATGGCAATAACCACATCATGCCTTCATCCTTTACACTAGGAGCACGTCAATTTTAGATGTCTGGGTTATTTTTTCCTCCCTATATGAATGAAGCAAAGTCAAACATAGGCAGACATTCTATTAAAACTACTAGGAATGAACAGAGGCATCTATAATAATCTCACTCTCTCAATTATTTTAGGGCAACTTCATACACGAAGTGCTTTGATTTCAAATAAACTCCGTCCACTCCAAGCTGTTCCTTATTCTATTCTTTCTCTCTTCAGTACAGACCATCTCTATAACCAGCCAAGAGCTCCAGGAAAAAAACAAAACCAAACCAAGTCTCATCTGTGACCCATCTCTCCCCCTCACCCCAGTACTCTCTCTGCTCCCCTGACATCCAATTCATCAGCAAGTTCTGGCCCTTTCTCCTCACCTTCACTACGACCACTGTTGACCAAGGCATTGTCCTCTCTCTCTCAGGACTTCCAGGGTGGTCTCCATACCGGTCTCCTTGTGTCCACACTTACACCTTTCCTATCCACTCTCCACACAGCAGTCAGGAAGTTGTTTCCAAACTGCAAGTCAGGTCCTGTTATCCTCTATCACCTTACTTAAAGCATTCTCATGGCTCCTTGTGACACCAAGAACAACATCCAAACTCCTAACCGTGGCCAACAAGGCCCTATCCACTTTCCAGCTTTCGATTCCTACTGAAAGCCTTTATCAGGTTGTAAGAAACAACCCTTCTTTTAGGTTGTTTTTGACATGTTAGCCTTCTTTCTGATCCAGGAATTGGCCAAGCTTATACCCACTCAGGGCCTTTGCATATGCTACTTTCTTTTCCTCAAACACTCTTTCCCCAGATATTTGTATGGCTGGCCCCTTTTGGCCTCCGAGACATCAGAAAAAGTGTCACCTCCTCAGAGAGGCCTTCTCTGGTCTTCTAATCTAAAAGAAGCCTTTCTCTGTATACTCTACCATATCACTGGGTTTTATTTTCTGCGTGTAACTTTTCCATATCTGAAATTAGCTAATATTTCTCTGCTCTTCTTGGTGGTCTCAAATGCACCAAGAGCAAAGAGAAAAGAGACCCAATCTTCCTATTTATTGTGTATCCTCAGTTCTTGAAGAAATGCTTGCCATTACGCAGGCACTTGAGTATGTGCTGAATGAATGAATTAATTTAATTGAGATAATCACAGAGAGAGTAAAACATTAAAAATACCTTTTATGTTGGAAATATCAATATTGAGCTGCCCGAGTTTCTCACACGTTTTCTCTATACACTCATAGACAGACTGCAGAATTTCCTTAGGGTCCTGCTCCACCCACCTTCAAACAAAAGAAAGTATTTTGGTTAGTCCACAAACAAGCAAGACAGATATAATTTATTTCTCTACAGATGTTCACTTATGAGGATGTGGCTGCATAAACTGAAGAAAATCAGATAAGCAAGGCATATCCAATATTCTAAAGAAATGACTTAAAGAAGGGCCAATTTCCCTTACATTTTTATTATTCTTCATACAGTAATTAACCATTTGAAAGGAGGTAATACTAGGCCACAAACAGCAGATATTCTACCTGTTTTAAAATCATTTTTTCAAATCCAGCAAGAAATAAGTTCCCCAATTCTTTATATCTTGTAGGTCTGATGAATTCTGATAATATTCACATTTCACTAGTCATTAGTCATTTTTAAACAGACTAGATACAGATATTATTTTTTTGACGCACTGACTGATTTCCTTCCTTATATATTTATTTATTTATGAAGCACAACAAATTCTAAAGTCAAATAAGTGTATTAATCACTTTTGTCATGATTTTTCCTAAAATGTTTCATTAGAAAGTAGGGAAACATTTTTAATTCCTTCCAAGAACTATGTCATGTAGACAAGTGATTGGTCCAAGTTTTCAGACCAAATCCCAGTGCAATTGTATGTAAGGCACAAGGACCTCAGAAGGATGAATGGCTTATAATAAATGACAAGGATGAGTATCTGGGAGAAACAAATGGCATATCTTATCTATGGAAAAGTAGAAATGACACAAGTTAAAAAGAATCCTACACTACAATCTGGAAGTAGCAAGGGAATGCTAAATGTCTTTCTTCTCAGCCTTCCTCCAGGTCTGCCCAGCTTTCCCCCAGGCCTGCCCAGCTTTCCCAAGCTACGAATTCTGTCTCTAAATTTTCTCTTTCCAAAAACATGATCTCCTTCCACATATTTCTAATTTCTATCCCTCCAAGACTAACTATCCTCTCTTTTAAACTGCAACGGGATCAGGTCTATGGATAGTCATTCAAATGCTAGAAACATGTCAATAACTTTTATTATTAAACAAAGGAATTCCCTGAAACATAGGAGAAAATTTTTAATGGAAAATCTGGTAAGGCACTGCTTTGTTTTCCTTTCTTAAATTGAAGTAAACTTTACAATATAACGAACAGATCTAAAGCACACACATTTGTTGGGTTTCAACAAATGCATATACCAATTTAACCAACACCCACATCCAGGTATACAATATTTCCTTTGCACCAGAAAAGTTCTTTCATGCCTTCAAGTCAATCACACACTCACAGGCAACCACTTTCGGGATTCTTATCGTCCTAATTAGTTCAGCATCTTCTTAAATTTTAGATAGTCATATAGGATGTATTCTCCTATGACCAGCTTTTTTTCATTTTCCATGATATTAAAGAGATTCAACCATGTTGTTGTATGTATCAGGTCACTGTTTTAAAACTGTCTAACAGTATTTTATTGTTATTGTTTACTGATGAATAGTATATTCATTGTTTACTGACGGCAAACATTTGAGGGGCTTCCAGTTTTACTATGAACAAAGCTACTATAAGCATTCATGTAGATAAGTCTTTCTATAGGCCTATGCTTTCACTTCTCTTGGATGAATTCCTAAGAGTGGAATGCAGCAGATATATGATTAATTTGATAAGAAACTGCCACATAGTTTTTCAAAGTAGTTGTATCATAAATATCAATTTTTGAACACCGTACAGTACATGTATATGTACTATATAATGCATGCATATTAGTAACACTACAGTTACTACATACGAACATTATTTCCCAAAAGGATGATTTAGTAGCAGATGTTAAGATATATGAATTAAAAAAAAAAAACCCATTTCTTTATTTAAGGAAAAAACCCTCACGTGCAAATCAGGAGAGAAGCAGCTTGACAATAATGAACACATAAAACTAAATGACTTCAAAGTCAATGTGGAATTTGATATCTAATACACCTTTGCTTTATTACTTTATTACTCCTTTTCTGTCCCTGAATTTCTTTTTTTTTTTCCTCCCTGAATTTCTAAGCCATCAGTCATCCACATTTTTGCTGACCTACCAAGTTAGTGCTTCTTTTATATATATATATATATTTACTTATTTTATTTATTCTTTTTGCTAAGCCGAGTCTGAGTTATGGCACATGGGCTCAGTGGCTCCTTAGCAAGTCAGATCTTAGTTCCCTGACCAGGGATAGAAACCAAGTTCCCTATACTGCAAGGCAGATTCTTAACCAATGGACCATCTGGGAAGTCCCAAGTTACTGCTTCTTTTCTTGACTAATACCTATTCCTTGTCTTCTCAGGAGGGTGTTTGGTCAAGTGTACTTTACCGAGGCATAGGGCAGATGGGTTGAGATGGACTAATATACATGAGGTATCTTTACACATTAAATTAGGAAACATACCCTTCTCTTGGAAACTCTTGTTTTATTTCCACTTGATGATGACTAAGTAGTTCGGCTGTTTTCGAATTGAAAACCTGAAAAACATATTGCAAGAGTAGAGTAAAAAATGCAGGTAGACAGCAAAGATGTTCAAAAGTTATTAGGCAACTGAAGTTCTTATTCACTGAGAGAAAAATCATTTCAGAGGAAATGCCTGGCAAGATGTTCTACATTCTCTTCAGATAGAATCATGCGAGTTATAAGGTAGCTTCAGAAATAACGTCTTTTTAGATAAATGAAAATCTGTTAAAGGTAACGCTGAAGAGGCAATTCTTCATTCTTTAAGAAATGGTTCCAGATGTAGGAAACTTAATACATCAACCAGTGAATAGTATGGATTTCTTTTAGAGATTAGGAAAACCAAAAATAAAAGAGCTGGATCAGTGTTGATAGTGATAGTGTCAGGTTCCATTCTGCACCCATCTTGCATGTAGAAACAGGAATCACAGATGCCCAGGCAGGAAAGCATTCTGTGTAAATTCCTTTGAAGGAAAGTGTAACAATGCATCTCACTCTTATGAGTGCCAAGGAGAGTCGTTACCAGGAAGGAGAGAAGAGGACCGACCGTGGCATCAAGCTGAGTGCTCTCTGTGACATGAATTGGTAACCCTTGATTATTAAACATTAAAACCCGTGGAGGAAAGCTACCAAAGAATAAGTGCAGTACTAGCCTCTGCAATTTTAACACCATTAAAATAACGCTTCCTAAAAACCTAACAACTTCTTTCCCAAGTATTATTTTTCACCTGGGTATATCTATATTTAAGTATCACATGACTTAGTCTTTCAGAGTTAAGAGTTTATATTTTAATTAAAATTAACTTTCCCAATCACTCTAATCACAGCAGTAAAGTCACCTCCAATTAAGAAAGTGTTTCCAGGCCTAGGTTTCCTGTGGGAGAAAATTCCTCGCTGAAGACAGACTTAGAAAGACAAAGTAATAAGGGAAAACACATGGTGAGTCTTATTGCTGCTCACCTCCCTACTCACCACACACATCATCTTTTGGTAAGGAAGTGATAAACATAATGAAAACAAGAAGGCAAATTCTCAAGTCCTCTGAGGAGATAAAATATCTCACAAGTCAAAGGTTAACCTGACACATCATAAATAAAAGGCAGTTGGCAGAAACCAGTGTAATATACCAGTAATTTACAACTTTAGCATTAGTGTAAGTTCCTAGGATGTCTACTCCATTTGTCCCATTTTATTTTCTAAAGTTTCTCTAGGGCCTGGAATAGTGCCTGGCCTAGAGTCGGTAATTAATAAATATTTGTTGAATATCTAAAACACTGGGGTCTATCAGGTACTTATTAGGAGATACATTCTTAAATCAAATGGGAAATGGTTATATGGCAGAAACTCTAATAGGAAGCCGTAGTTGTATAATGTTTCCTCATATTCTGCTCCCAAAGTCTACAAGTCCCCAAAGGACTCTGGAACAAGAAACAAGAGGGGTAAGATGGGAAGGGGGAAGCAGGCTTGAGAGGGAGGGAATACACATATAATTATGGCTGATTCATGTTGTTGTACAGCAGAAATCAACACAATATTGCAAAACAATTATCCTCCAATTAAATTTTTTTTTTTAAATAAGGTGTGCCTTTTTGGTGGATGGATTCATAAAATACTGCGTCAGTGGACCTAGGGAGCTATGAATGGAGTAGGCTTCCTCTTCCATCACCCCCTAGTTTTAAGTAGGCTAATGTCAGGACCCTCACGCACACACACAAAAATGGATTTAAACGTTGTTGTAATAGGCACAGAAAAGGGAAGGAATCTGGTAAATCCTATCTGGCATATTAGAGAGTGATGTGTGATCACAGAACATGTGGATGTAAGAGGATGAAGTCTGGACCTCTCTACTTCTTTAGAGCTCTGACTCTGAGGAGAAAATGGACATCACCTTTAGGTGTTTGGGATCTGACCCTGTGCACCACTTATCCCAGTGTATGGGGCAGGTTTTAGATTTACTATTTCAGAATCTGCAACTTGCTTCGTGGATCACCATCCAACAAAAATATAATGCAAGTCACAAATGCAAGCCACATATAATTCATAACATAAATTTATAATTTAAAATTTTCTCAGGTAAAATTAATCTTAATCACATTTTTTAAACCAATATATCTAAAATAATTTCAACAGATGAGATCAATACAAAATTGATTAGCTTGTCTACTTTTATCAATGCAAAATTGATTAGCTTGTCTACTTTTTTTGTACTAAGTCTTTGAAATCTGGTATAGATTTTATACTTCTGATCCAACTCAATTCAGACTAACCACATTCAAAGTGATCAGTAGCCACTTGAGACCAGTGGCTGCCATATTGGACAGTGAAGTTGTAGAGCAGTGCTTTTCTCATATACCTACGTTCACATGAGTAATTGTAATGAAGCCTCCGGGTTATCCATTTGTCTACAGCCGGACAAGTATCCAAAGTAAGCTAAGGATGTTTCCATAAGACTCTATGGCTGGTGGGTAGGTAACTCCAATGACAACACATTACCCAGGAGCGAAAATGCTAGTCTGTTCTTTTCAGGCAGATTGCAAAAGACACTGTCACTGAAAGAGGGCAATGGCTATACAATTTGCTCTATCAGATGAGTAGCATGGTCATTCGCGTAAAAACTGTTAGATGGCAAGGGAGAAACACCCGAGTTACAGATGCTCCTCATCTTTTTCGCCCTTTTCAAGTTTGAAACTCAATTTAAAGATTAGTCCAAACTGCAGATGCACAACGGCACAGAACAGAAACTCTCTTTTAAAAAATTCATTTTAAGAAAATTCATTTAAAGGAATACACAAGAGTTTATGGGATCTGGAAGAGGTCTGGGCCAGTGTTCAGTGCCCTCCCTGCATCTCTAGAACCCTTCAAAAGCCGGGACAGAGAATTGTAGCTCAGTCTCTGGACTACACCCTACCTTAGATTTCATATTTTACTGACTTCAGCTTCCAGATTTAAACTCTTCTAGAAGTGCGCTTGGGGCTTCCCTGGTAGCTCAGATGGTAAAGCGCCTGCCTACAATGCGAGAGACCCAGGTTCGATCCCTGGGTTGGGAAGATCTCCTGGAGAAGGAAATGGCAACCCACTCCAGTATTCTTGCCTGGAAAATCCCATGGACTGAGGATCCTGGTAGGTTACAGTCCATGGGGTCGCAAAGAGTCGGACACGACTGAGCGACTTCACTAAGTCATTAAGAAGTGTGCTTAACCATGGAGTTCCAAGGCAGAAAGCAAAATGACAATACAAACTGAAACCCATGGACCTAAAAGAATGCTCTCTGACTTACCAACTGAACTCCAAGAGATGGGATAGGACTGACAAAACAGGGCTAAGCTCTAGGTTTTCTAAATACCAGAGCTTTTCCAGTACAAAATCATACCAGGACTAATTGTGATGTTTTCATCCATTAAGTAGCAGAGAATACGAAGAGGTTTTCTAATGTAGGGCTGCCTACACTATCAAGAGGAGGAAGGACATCCAACCCACACTTGAGGGGAGTCAGAGAAGTGCTTTCAGAAGACGTAATTTGCAGATGAAGACTGGGAACAGCGGGGAAGGTAGGCTCAGGCAGGGAAAGCTGAGGATGTATGTGTCTGCAGTGATCCATGTAAGATGCCTAGAGGTGTCGTGGCAGCCGTGGGCACTGAATGAAGTGCATTGCTGAGATATTCAGTTTAGGAGGTATAAGTATTTAGATACATCAAGGGCTTGGATCGGGAGGAATGACAAAAAAGGAGGAATACTCAAGGATGACAGGTTACAGGTTACAAGAGTAGACAGTATCTTGCTATATTCAAATGGATAACCAACAAGGACCTACTTACAGCACAGGGCACTGTGCTCAATGTTATGTGGCAGCCTGGATGAGAGGGTAGTTTGGGTGAGAATGGATAGATACATGTATATGTATGACTGAGTCCCTTCGCTGTTCACTTGAAACCACCCCAACATTGCTAATTGGCTATACCTCAATATAAAATAAAAAGTTTAAAAAAAAAAAGAGTAGGCAATGTTACAAAACAAAGGTATGGGAAGAAGCAGTAATTACAGTATGGAAGGGGTAAAGAGATTGCCAGTTTCATGTTTGAGTGAAGACACCCAGCAGTCAGTTGCTAATGTTTGAGATCGTAGCTGAAAGAGATCCATTAAGGGCAGAGACTTAACTAGTAGATAAATAAGTCCTGGAGAGCTGATGCACAGCAGAGTGATTAGAGTCAATGGTAATGTACCAGAAACTTCAAAGTTGCTAAGAGACTCGATCTTAATGGTTTCCACCAAAAAAAAATAAGTGAGATTTATGTGACAAGGCAGAGCTACGGAGATAATGCTACGGTGGTAATCATATGGCAATATACAAATATATCAAAAAACACAAATGTACATCTTAAACTTATATGACCTTCTGTGTCAACCATATGTCTATTAAAAGAGAAAGAGAGAGTTTTAGAACTGCATGTGAGCCAGAAAGGTAGTTGAGAGCCTCATGCTTGATGTCATATGGAGGCAAAAAGCACAGACCTGAAAGAGCTTGAGCTGGGGGTCAAGCTCAGCCCTATCCATAACAGTTTTTTGGTTGTGTTTTTTTGTCTTTTTTTGGGCCATGCAGCACAGCATGTGGGATCTTCCTTGACCAAGAACAGAGACTGAACAGGTGCCCCTGCAGTGGGAGCATGGAGTCTTAACCACTGGCGTGCGTGCTAAGTCGCTTCAGTTGTGTCAGACTCTTTGCCCCTCCAGGCTCCTCTGTCCATGGGGATTCTCCAAGCAAGAATACTGGAGTGGGTTGTCACACCCTCCTCTAGGGGATCTTCCCGACCTAGGGATCGAACCTGTGTCTCTTACATCTCCTGCATTGGCAGGCAGGTTCTTTACCACTAGTGCCACCTGGGAAGCCCTTAACCCCTGGACCACCATGGAAGCCCCATGTCAGCTGTCTGACTTTAACTCTTCTAAGTTGCTGATTTTTCCATCGGCAAAGGACTAAATAATGTATGAAAAGTATTTCACACAGGGTGAGCACACAACA